CCCAGCAAGTAGGAACTGCCCGGGGAAGGTTCAAAGGCCCGCCCTGTGCCCTGCTGGGCTGACTCAGAAGCTCAGAGAATCTGATGCCCACATTCACAAAGCTGAAATGCAGAAACCAACATGGAAACGATCCAGGCACCAAAGGGACCAAGGCAAGCAGGGGGCTGAGGCTGGCATCTTATCACTGAGGCCCAGAGGTTTGGTTCCAGACCTGGGCAGTTCTCGGGCCCAGAACCCACCAGGGAGGGGACACTGGGTCCCTACCAGGAGGAATGCTGCACACCACAGTGACAGAATTGGTGGCCTCTTCGCCTTCCAGGAGGAGCCCACACTTCTTCACACAAGTGTTCTCACGACGGGGAAAGAGAAACACTTTAGACCTCTTGCCACCAAGAGCCACTGTGTCCCTGCGCTAGACTGGGGAGACAGACACGAGTCAGCTAGCGCCCTGCATTTTCCAGGTTCCTGTCACGGGGGGCCTGCCAGCGTCCCTGGGCCTAATGGAGGTCACCTCCCCACTTCCGATTGTCTAATTGCAATGGACGCTCTTGGTAGTTGGTAAAATCCTCACTTTGGTTCCATGACCAGGAGAGCAAGAGCTATGTTCTGGGAAAGGCTAAACGGGAGCAAGCCACAAACAGCGTCACACCTCAAGGGAGTGACAGACCTGGCCGGCCTCAAAGACCGGAAGGACACAGATGGCTCAACAGCCTGATCCCCGCAAAGCTCAGACTGTGGCAGGAGACGGACGACACAGCCAAGCGGGAGCTCCATGCAGCCGCAGCACCAGATGTGGTGGCCCCGTCAGCCTATGCAAAGCCTGAGCGGCTGCTGACTCGGTACGTGTGCGCCCTTCCCTACAGGGCCAGCTTACAGAAACCCTCTGTTCTGGGGTCTTCCCCAGGTGTCAACAGGTGCGCTGTCCTGGCTGCCCTGGTGTCCTGAATCCCTCCAAATGTTCCCTTTTCCTGGTCACTTTGACCTTGGAGAAGAGCCAGATCCGGGGAATGAGGCGGAGGAGGGCACGGGTCCCGCTTTTAGAGCCTGCCTCTCTGAATATGTTGGTGTGTACTTGGATCACTCCTCATGCAGACACTCAGGAAACTTCCAGAACTGCTTCAGAGAGTGGCAAGGACCGAGAGATGAGTGTGTTCAAAGCTAAAGATGGGAAGTATGTTGGGGGGCCGGGGTTCGTGGTAAAATGTCTTCTGCTGTCACACATTTGTGAAATGTCAGCAGTCGCCCTCGTACTGATGCCCATCAGAGGCCACTGTGGCAGAGAGGCCCCATACAGCCCAGTGGACAGGGTGACGAGCCGTTCACCCCGCTGGGCAGAGCCGGCTCAGGACGGAGGGGCCGGGTACGGTGGCGTCTGTGGGTGTGCCAGTGGCTGGCTTTCTGGGTCCAGGGCTCAGCTGGCTCTTGTGGCTGCAGAGGGTCCTACCTGCGGCCGTCTGAGACCCAGTACAGTGTCACGCCTTGTGGAGACCAGGTGAGTCCCGGAGGGTTGAGGATTCCCCAGGAAGGGACAGGGAGCCCTCGAATCCATGAGGGACGCCTCTTCTAGGAAGGGTTCTCCTGAGCAGTCGAGGTGGCTCTGTAGGGGCTCAGCCAGGAAGCAGCCCTGCTGCTCCAGGGTCACTGTCCAGGGTGTCGGAGTGGAGGAGAAGGAAGCTGAGAGCAGAGACCGCCCAAGAGCTCCTTCCTGGCTGCAGGCCCCTGGGAAGATGCAGGTGGGGACCAGAGCCTGTGTAGGGGCTGGTGGCTCCATCCTGCTGTGCCCCCAGGACTCGCAGGGAAGAACAGGGCTGTGGGGCGGAGGTTATCTGAGGTCAGAGGCAAAACGCCAGTCTGCCTGCCCGGCTCCTGGAAACCCCGATTGCAGCAGGAAGCCATCGCCATCATAGGCTGTATTGTCTTGGCTCTTAAAAGACCTCTGGCTCTTATCTTTGGTTCTCCCCCCCCCCCAGACTACAGCGGTCGGAAGAGGTTAAACCTGTTTCTGCAGAACCAAACCCATAAAGGGCAACCTGGCCCGTGATAGGTTAAAGGTAGCCCACTCCTCATAAATAAGCAATAGCCCAGCCCCAAACCGACAAGAGGCCCTTCCTTTCTTTGTTCCTCTCTCTCCTCTCTCTCCTGTCTCTCTCTCTCTTTCTCTCTCTTCCCTCTCTCCTCTCTTCCTAACCTGCCTTCCCTAATAAAATCTCCTGTTGGACCTCACGGAGTGTGGCCTACTTGTTGGGCTTCGCTGTGCCTCTCGAAATAAAAAAATAAGGAAAGATTTGCCTAAAATTGTGGGATTAAAAAAAAAAAAAGAGTCTAAGTGTGAGAGACTGCAATGTTGATTATGCCCAAAGAAGGCTATAAACAGTGCAGGATATGGAGAGTGAACCCCACAACTGGCTGTTTGTAGGAGTGACCTGGCCGAAACCTACGTGCCAGGTCAGAGTAACTCGCACCCAGATTCCGTTCCCTCAACTAAAACCTTCTGACAGGATGGACAGTATTCTAATTCCAGCCATATGTTCTATCTATTCTATTCCTAATCAAGAATGTTTTGTCTTTTTCCTTCATGAGCCTTGCTTACATTACTTTCCATAGAAACCCCGACTGTGTGTTCTCACCATAGTTTCACCCTTGCATGTAGCTTGCCTTTACCCCAATGTTTTACCAATAAAATCAGTGCCTGGGACTGGCCGGCACCTTTGTTGGTTGCACCAGCATTGGTCATCCTGGCCCCCGCTTTCGGCCTCTCTCAGTTCTGTCCTTTAGGTTTTTTCCCCTCAGGTTTGTGTCGTACACTGGGCAGGAGACTGGAGCCGACTACAGAGGTTTCTGGTAATGTTTCCGGGGTTCTCAGTACCAAGCAGCTGGGCTTAGTAAGCCCTTGAGGACAGCTTTCCACACCTACAGATGTCGAGGGTTGGCCCGCAGTGCCCAACCCTGCCTTTGTCCCATGGAAATTGAACTCACCCATTCCCTAGGGGGCCTCTGCTGGCTCCCACTGACCCCTCAGCCACCTCCATCCTTGTTGGTGGCCCCCTGACCTTGGGAAAGTCACTTGTCACCACTGCACATGCCCCGTGCTCCCCGCAGAGACTCGCGTGTGCTGTGACCCCCACAGCCCCTGTCGCCCACCGTCTTCTCCCTTTGTGCTTCAGCCTGGGCGCCACCTCCTCCAGGAAGCCTCCCTGGCAAGAGCTCTGAGGCTGCTCATATCATCGGGTTGCCCAGCATCCATTCCCTTCCTCCAGGGAAGCCCCAGTGTTGCTATGGAAGCCAGGTGAGCCCCTTCTGTCCCTGGCTGGGTTTTCTGCTGGGAGCCACCCAACATTTGGATAGGGGACATGAGGCCTCCCTCTCACCTCCCTACAACTCTGGCTCTCAGGGCTCTGTGTGGGGACCCACATTTCTTGTTTTCCCAAATCAAATTAAAGGAGACACACAGCCCCTTTACTTATGGGATGTGTCACACGTCCTTGACAGTCGCTTGTTGGGGGCAGGGTCTCACCGTGTTGTCCAAGCTGAACGCCTGGGCTTAAGCAATCCTCCTGCTTCAGCCTCTCCAGGAGCGGGGACTTCAGGCCTGCACCACTGTGCCCAGATCCCTCTGGATCGTACCAAAATGGGGGGGGGTAGGAAATGAGGGAGGGCCCAGGGGGGGTCAGCAATGTTACTGTGGTTCCTTCCAGGTGCTGCTTGTTCCTGACCTTGCTCTATTGCACCTGGTGACCAGGGACACTGGGCACTGCAGTGGCAGCACAGGCCCTGCCCTCAAGCAAGTCCCTATATTGCAGTCTCCCGGCAACCTGCTCCCTTGGCCCCAGCCCATCCATGCCCCTCCATCTCCCCGGCCCAGAGGCTCCCGCCCCCAGGGACACCACTGGGTCCCCCCAGGAACAGAGCTGAGCCAGGCCTCTCTCCAGCTGCCAGGAGCAGCAGAGGTGTGACCAAAATATATGCTGAATGTTTACTTTTTTAAAAATTTACTGCAGTAAAAGACACATCGCTGTGAATTCCCCTCCAAATCCTCCTCTTGGAACACACTCGTCCCTTCGTCCTCGCCACTTCCTGCAGCAGCTCTGGAGTCCTCTTTCCTGAGGGTCTTTAGCTGCGCTGTCCTAGCTGCCTCCCTGTCTTGAACGGATTGAAAACACTGACCATTCGAGGTCATTGTGACTTGGGAGAAGAGCCAGAGTCACAGGGTGCCAGATCCAGTGAACAAGGTGGGTGAGGACACACCAAGATATTTTTTGACACGACTTACCATAAGCGTTTGATCCACCTCAGGGTAACCAGAGATACAGTGAATGTTTCAACTTTTCTAAATCTATTAGAGTAAAAGGCACATTACCATGGATCTCCCTCGGATCCCTCCCCCTCAGCCCAAATACACGCATCCCATTAGTCTCTGCAATGTATGTGCTGGGTAATGAGGATTTTTAAATTTAAGCATCGATCCTACACTTCGAGCACCCTATGTGGATGTGTGATGGAAACAGGTGGCTCAGGTGTGTTTTTTGGGTGAAAATTGTGTAACATAAAATTATCCATTTTAAAGGAACAGCTCACACTTCAGTGATGATGACCGCACGGCTCCCCAAGCCCTGGGTCAGGCCCTCTTGTGCCTCTCACCTGCTATGGATGGCACACATCAATCCACTCATCAAAAGGCTTTTTTTTTTTTTTTTTGGTTTTTTGAGACAGGGTCTCACTATGTAGTTCACACTGACCTGGAACTCACTGTGTAGCCGAGGCTGGTCTGGAAGTCACAGTGATCCTCCTGCCTCAGCCTCCCAAGTGCTGGGATTACAGGAGTGCACCATCACACCTGGAAAGGCCTTTTTGATTGTGAAAAAGAAAGGTTTATTCTAGTGAACACAGACTAACATCAGGGAGAGATGCTAGCTGAGAAAAGTTGAGTTTATTTCCCCCATGAGTGGATGGCTGACACCAGGAGACAGATTAGCAGCTACCTGGGGAAAGAATTAGGCTTATGTAGGTACCGAAGGGCCTCAGGAATGTGGGTGAGTCCAAGGACTATGTCGGTGTGTAGGCAGTCCCCGGACTTTTCGGTGCCAGGAGATTGTCTTCTGAGTACTGAGAAGCTGCCTGCAGTCTGGGGAAAGCAGCCTGTGTGCTTTGTCCTGTTTCCCTGTGCAGGATTCACTTCAGTCAGGCCTGACGGAGCCTTGTCCCTCAGTCCCAGAGACCCCCGTGCAGAGCAGTCACCTTCCGCCCCTGTTTCCCTAGCCCCTGGCAATCACCAGTGTGCTTTCCGTCTGTAGATGAATCCGCCTGGGTGGCACTGAAGTAGAACTTTACAGCAGGTGGCCTTTGTAGGCGGCTTCTTTCTCGTAGCATGTTTTTGAGGTTTGTGTACATTTAGGGTGTGTCAGAACTTCACTCCTTTTCACATCTGAGGAGCTCTCCTGTGTAGATAGGTCACGTTAGCACATATTTGCCCACGGACAAACACAGACACAAAACTTCACAGTAGCACGCATCTGTCATCCCTGCTCAGGAGGCTGAGGTAGGAGGATCCCCGAGATCAAGGCCAGCCTGGGCTACATAGCAAGACACTGTCTCAAAACAACAACAACACTGTTTCCACAAATGGGTAAACAAGCCGCCAACATCTGCAAGTCCCGTGATTTTATTCAGATGTTGTCATACTTGAGAAATCAGATCTCTCTCCCTGGGCCCCAGCTGCTGCCCACGACAATACTAAGGGCTGCTGAGTGGCCCTTTGGACAGGGCTTGGGCTGCAGCTCTCCCAGCCTGTTCGGCCAGGTCCCCTCCTCCCTGGCTGTCAAGCACAGCCCCCTGCCTGACCGCAGAGGTGCCTGAGAATCCCAGCCTGACCCTCAGAACACAAACCCAGCGGGCCAGGGATTTACTCAGTGGTTCCACTGCCTGCCTTGTAAGCACAAGGACCCGAATTCGATCCTTGGTACCAAAACACAAAACACACAAACCCAGGGCTTTGGGAAGGGCCAGGAAGGTGCCTTCTCTCCTTGTGAGGACAAGATGTCATTAGTGCAGCTCAAAGCTCTGAGACAGCCTGTGCTGGGCACTGTGGCCAAGTCACCAGCATGTCTTCTTTACCATGGGGTCTCTGTCCTGGCTTGGCCTGGCCAGGTCACACCAATGAATGCACATGCTGTGGCTGTCACCAGTACACACACACACACACACACACACTGCATATATACAAACACATCTGCCTATGGGGGAAATGAAGGATGGCCCAAGTTGCATGAGTTCACAAATACATGGTTTATTATGACCCAAACAGAATTTTTCTTAGGGTCAAAGGACTAGTCACTTCCCTCATTGCTGGGACAAAATCCCTGAGGCCCACAACTTAAGGGAGGAGAGGTTTATTTTGGCTCATGCTCCAGTGCCTAGTTGGCTGGCTCCAAGGCAGGGCAGCTGGGCAGAAGGGCCTGGCAGAGGAGGCCTGCTCAGGGCATGGTGGACAGGAAGTCCAGTGACCACCTCTTCCAACCTGGCCCTGCCTCCTAACCTCAATCAGCTCCAAGCCACACAACGCAGTCACCCTCCAAAGCCCACCTATGAGCCATGAGTGTCTTGAGGGACAGCTAAACCATGGCAGAGGCTAGGAACTTGGGCAAGCCTCACAGGGAAGGCCCTCCACAGACAAGGACAAGGACCACACAGAGACTGAGTGACACCATTTCAAGTCCTGCTGCTCTGCTGGGGTGGAGGCAGGGCCCCATGGTCAGGAAAGTCTGGTGGAATCCTGAGGTGAACATTTATAGGAGTGGCTCGGCCACCCCACCATACCTGTGATGACACCTGAGGCGGCCCCTCACGCCAGAGGCTTTGCCGGTAGCAGCAGGCAAAGGTGACGCTGCAAACTCCTGTCAGTGAGAGCAGCAGCTGACATCAGGGCATCAGGGTCTGCTGGGGCTTGACATCTCCTTCCCTAGGGGGACAAATGCTTTCCAAATCCTCACATACACACAGGAGAATGGAATCCCCAGGCCGGGTGATCTGTAAAGATAAGAGACTTGTGCTGTCTCCTGACTGCAGAAGCTGAGAAGCCCAGCCAAGATCAGGAGACTGCATGTGGCTGGCTTCATGGAGGCCCTCAGGGTGCTGCAACTCATGGAGGAGTAGGAGGCGGGGCGCGGGGGGAGACACAGAATGACCTTGCTTCACAGCACCCCCCCCCCCCCCCCCG